CAGGCAAGACATCAGCTGGTGCTCACTGCTGTGGATGGGGGTACCCCAGCCCACTCAGGGACCACCCTCATCTCTGTCATCGTGCTGGACATCAATGATAATGCGCCAACCTTCCAGTCCTCAGTTCTACGTGTAGGACTCCCAGAGAATGCACCCATGGGTACACTGCTGCTCCGCCTCAATGCCACTGATCCAGATGAGGGCACCAATGGCCAACTAGACTATTCCTTTGGAGACCATACATCTGAGGCAGTGCGGAATCTCTTTGGTCTGGACCCTAGCAGTGGTACAATCCATGTGTTGGGTCCTGTAGATTTTGAGGAGTCAAGTTTCTATGAAATACATGCAAGAGCCCGTGACCAGGGACAGCCAGCCATGGAGGGCCACTGCGTGATTCAAGTGGATGTGGGGGATACCAACGACAATGCCCCAGAGGTGCTACTGGCCTCTTTGGTCAACCCTGTCCTAGAGAACACACCGGTGGGCACAGTAGTGGGGCTGTTTAATGTGCGAGATCGAGACTCAGGTAAAAATGGTGAAGTGAGCCTTGATATCTCTCCGGACCTACCATTTCAGATTAAGCCTTCTGAGAACCACTACTCACTGCTAACCAGCCAGCCCTTAGATCGGGAGACCATATCCCACTATATCATTGAGCTGCTGGCCAGTGATGCTGGCTCACCTCCCCTGCACAAACATCTCACCATCAGGCTCAACATTTCAGATGTTAATGACAATGCACCCGACTTCACCCAGCAGCTTTATACTGCTTACATTCCAGAAAACCAGCCTCCGGGCTCCCTGCTCTGCACCGTGGCTGCCTCAGATCCAGACATTGGGGATAATGCCCGCCTCACCTACTCCATTTTAGGGAGTCAGATCCAGGGAGCCCCAGCTTCCTCCTTTGTGTATGTCAACCCTGAGGATGGACGGGTTTTTGCCCAGCGTACCTTTGACTATGAATTGCTGCAGATGTTGCAGATTGTGGTGGGGGTTCGAGATTCTGGTTCTCCCCCATTGCATGCCAACACATCTCTGCATGTGTTTGTGCTGGACCAGAATGATAATGCCCCAGCTGTGCTGTACCCACGGCCAGGGTGGGAACTCTCAGCTCCTCAGCGTCTCCCTCGCTCAGCTCCTCCTGGGTCCTTGGTTACCAAGGTGACAGCTGTGGATGCTGATGCAGGCCACAATGCATGGCTTTCCTATTCACTGTTGCCACAGTCCACGGCCCCAGGACTGTTTCTCATAACCACACACACTGGTGAGGTGCGCACAGCCCGGGCCTTACTGGAAGATGACTCAGACACCCAGCAGGTGGTGGTCCTGGTGAGGGACAATGGTGACCCTTCACTCTCCTCTACAGCCACAGTGCTGCTGGTTCTGGAGGATGAGGACCCTGAGGAAATGCCCAAATCCAGCGACTTCCTCACACAACCTCCTGAGCGTTCAGACCTTACCCTTTACCTCATTGTGGCTCTAGCTGCTGTCAGTCTCTTATCTTTAGTCACCTTCACTTTTCTGTCAGCTAAGTGCCTTCGGGGACATGCAGATGGGGATGGGGACGGAGGCCAGTGCTGCAGGAGCCAGGACTCACCCACCCGGGACTTCTATAAGCAGTCCAGCCCCAACCTGCAGGTGAGCGCAGATGGCACGCTCAAATACATGGAGGTGACACTGCGGCCCACAGACTCGCAGAGCCATTGCTACAGGACGTGCTTTTCACCGGCCTCTGACGGCAGTGACTTCACTTTTCTAAGGCCCGTCAGCGTTCAGCAGCCCTCAGCTCTGGCGCTGGAGCCTGACGCCTTCCGGTCCCGCTCTAACACTCTGCGGGAGCGGAGCCAGGTGAGGGCCTCGGTGCCAATAATGGTGACCCCTGGGGGCGGCGTTGGAGAAACTGCCCGTCCACATAAGGGATTTTGAACTTGCATCCACTCCCCTCGGGCTGGATTGGCCACTGGCTGCGCTCCACCCGATTCTCGGGACCATTTGGACTGATTGCGTGGAACCAGAGGAGTGGCGGAGGCGGGGGTGGGGCTCCCAGCCCCGGGAGGTGGTGGCAATTGTGGGCGAGGGGTGGTGGGACCTGCCCCCGCCCCCACACTCAGAAAAGGCTGGGGCCCTGCTGAACTTCTTGTGGTTTTCTGGCGGTTTCCGCGGGTGTCGGGGTTCCCGGGTGGAGGCAGTTACAGATCCACCCCTGCAGCCAGCCTCCTAGGCCCCTGCTCCCGGCACGCTCCGCCGATCATTAGGTTTCCTCTTCGGTTTCTCCCCACTCCCATGATCTGTGACTTCACTGTTATCCTCGGCCCGCCCTATGCCCCATCACCGAACCGCATCTATGTACAGGACTTAGGTACGCACGCAGGGCTCACGCGTGTCCTCCCTGCAGGCCACACCCACGGGGCACACGCGTGCGCGCGCACACGCACCTCGCACTTGGGCTCGTGCGCACACCGGGGTTCACTGCCGGCCGCTCGCTGCCAGCTTTACACGGGCTGTGCGGGGCCCACTCACTGCTCCCCTCCGCCGGCCTCAGAGGCACTCTTCGCTGGCTGTGCGCGCCCTGGTGAAGGTCCCAGGTCGCGGCCGCCCAGGGCCAGGCGAGAACTCTGGAGGCTCCTCCTGCCCCTGCCACTCGCACCCCGGGCTGGACGCTGTTGACTCCGGGCCTGAGCTGTGCTGCGGCGCGCGGGGCACTGGCCCGACTCAGGCCGCTCTAGGCGCGGGGCGGGCGGGACTCTATGACCCGCAGGCCGGCTGGTCCTGCTGGGCCCGGGGATCCATGCTGAGGGCGGCGGTCCCTATTGCAGCAGCCTGGGGCAGGCTGGTGGACAGAGCTGCCCTGTGGCATGAGGCGCAGCAGGGGCCAGCCAGCCTGAGGCGAGTGAGCGAACCTCCATGGGACAGGAGGCCTGGGACTTTAGCGGCATCAGCGACCCCTCCCTCCTGCAGGAAGTGGGAGCCTGGAGCACCCGGGCTCTGGACGCTCAGAGATAGGCTTTTTGGCTCCGTCGCGACCACAATATACCCAGAGATATAGGGTCAGGGTTTTGGGGGTGACCAAAGTATCTGAGACTCCGGCAAATCCTTCCTCCTTTGGCTGATGGAAAGCCACAGCGTCTGCTGGTTGCCAGGGTGCCCTCATATGTGGGGAAACTTTATAGTAAAAAGCACAGGTTGGGCTGACCGGTTAGCTCAGATGGTTAGAGCCAGCCTTGTAACACTAAAGCCTAAGGATTTGGTTCCCTGTTTCCACAACCCCAGGAGCTTTTATTCAAAATATATCTATGCCTAACTCTGCCCCTACTGAATCAGAATTATATTTTGAAAAACACTCCCACGTGACTGATAGCTGATTGAGAGAACCTTACTATATACCTCCTTTGAAAACCACATCATCCCATTTGCCCTTCCCACCACTGTTGTCGGATAGATACTAGCATTCCCATCTTATAACAGTTTCACAGAGGTCAAATGACTTCCTCAAGTTCACAGAGCAAGTGATAAAGAGTCTAACCCAGGTCTGTCTAACTCTAAAATTTGTGCTTTTAATTACTTGGAACTTACAAAGCTGAAGGACAGGACAGACGGTTTGCATCTGCTGGGATGGGGCAAGGTTGGGGTTCTTTCCCTTTTAGGACCTTACGTGTGGAGAAAAGTCTTCTAGGGCTCCTCATCCCCGATAGCAGCCCTCTCTGAGCAAACTTGGTCCTGCCACTTTCCTTGGGTAGATTGTGAGTTTCTCCCAGCTCCTTTTCCTCCAGTCATGGTCCCTGCATGTCTATGTAGATTCTGCTGTGTCTACAAATACAGTGGCTGAGGGCTGGGCATCCCTGTGTCCTACCCCACAGCAGCCCCGCAGTGGTGCTGGTGACTCCTGATGCACCTGGGATGCTAGGTTTCTGGGTTCTGCTCACATCACAGCCACTTGTGAGCCTTAGGGTGAGTCATTGGCAGTCCTAGGTCTTCCTTCTCCCCAGTATAATCTGAGATGCTCACACTCTGATCCTGGGAGCAAGTATGAGAATTAATTACCAACACACCCCAGAACCAGTGAGGAGATAGTTCTAGGAATGCTCCATGAGAGTGTGTGATGGGACAACACACCCCCTGGAAAGACTGGGAGTGAAGTGACTGGCCAAAGTGCTACACCTTTGGCCAGGTGGGAGACAGCTACAGATCAGCTCCTTGGGAGCGCTAGAGAATTAGCTGGCTCAGCTTGGAGGCTGTGGGAGCTTGATCCTTCTGGGCTCCATCCCAGCCATTTTCTCTGTCCCAGACAGAGCAGCCTTGTTCTCTCCTCCTCAGTCACAGGCCATTGTCTGGCACAGAGTTCTGGGGGTGAGAGGTTTCCTGGGGCTTGGATGCCCTGCAAAGGCCCAGTCTGGCATGACTCCTAAATTAATAATGTATTTAAGTGTGGGAAGAGATCCTTGAGAGCCAAGGGTCTGGAGGATGTGTCCCTCTGAATGTGTCACTGCACAACGTGGCACAAAAAGGGTTACCCAGAGCAGCAGCCATCTTGCTGCAGAGGATGCTTTGTTCCCAGTTGAGGAGCTGAATAAATTCATTCTAGTGCTGGTGGAATTCTCATCTAAAAGCTTCCTCTGCCACTTCTGGGGTCCTTCTCTGCACAACCTCTTCCCCTCCTGCCCTGCCCCATTCCACAGAAGACACTTTCAGTCTTTGAATTTTGGCTCAAAGTTCTGAGTCTGGGAGCAGGGAAGAAGGGGCCATTTCTTCAGCAAAGGAATCTGGGCTTGTTCACTGTGGTCAGATGAAATGTTATTTTCTCTCTTTGTCTCTGGTACCTCAGATCTCTGAGGCCTGAGGTGCATTTTGCCTTTGGAGGCGAGTCTACCCCTCCTCCATCTTATCCCATTTTCTTCTCTGTGCCCATTCCCCTCCTTCTCTTCAGGCCCACCCCCAGGGGCTCAGGTGACATCCTGACTTCTTGCGGGTACTCAGCTCCTTTTCCTCTGTTTTCTCCGCAGCAAGCCCCACCCAACACGGACTGGCGTTTCTCTCAGGCCCAGAGACCCGGCACCAGCGGGTAGGTGACTGATTCTCCAGCCCACCCTCTTCTCTGCGGCATTTTCAGTGATGACGTGGGAGGAGATGGGGGGAGGGCTCTGCATTTGTTGCAGATGGTTTCTTCCCTCAGTTTGAGATTTCATGGAGGTTCTGGTATATCGGTGTCCTGCACACAGACCTCGGAAGGAAGAGGCACCTGCCCTAACTATTTTGGAAGCTCAATTCACATACTTATTCCTCCCTTCTGCCCAGGACACACACCTTTTCCTAACTCCTGAGGGCTGTGTGGGACCAGAGGATGGGCTTAAGCTGGTCTCTGCATGGAGAGGAGGCTCCTTGTACCCATCTACTGCCTACATCCCCCTCCTCCATGGAGCCGGGCTTCATCCTGACCTGGGGTGGGACAGGAGGAGGGGCACGAGGAGGCTGTCAGCAGAGTCTCCTCCAAGCCTGCAAGAAAGAGCAGAGGCAGAGGGGATGGAGCTCAGGCTGCTGTGGAGACAGCACAGCTAGAGACGGGACTGAGGAGGGAAGGCTGCCCTAGGGAGGGCTAGGGGCAGGTCTCCCTCATCCTGCTCCTCCTCCAGCTGCTGTCTGACCTCCCCTTGACATGCCTGCTCTGCCTGAGGGCCTCTTGTTTCTGCCCCCTTTTTCTCAAGTCTGGGTCTCTGCCACTCTCTTACTTCTGCCTCTTTCCCTCAGTGTCTATCTCAGTTTGCAATCTCGGCCTCTTTCTCGGTCTCTGTCTCAGTTTCTGTCTTTATTGCTGCATCTTGGTCCCTACAATTTGTGTCAATTTGCATTGATCTGTGCCTCACACTGTGCCTGCCATGGTGTAGGTGTCAATAAATGTGGAATGAATGAATAAATGTGACTCTTTCTTAGTTTCAGTCTCTATTTCTCCTTTTCTCTCTGTCTCTGCCTTCCTGTCCTTGTCCTAGACCTCTTTTCTGTCTCTCTGTCTGTCATCATTTCCTAGTGTCCTGTGTTCTTGTCTCCAGTCTCTTTGTTTCTGTCTCTCACTAATTCTGTTTTCTTCTCTGTTCTCAGCCTCACTGTGTCTCTTTCTCTATCTCTGACTCTTTCTGTGTATCTCTCTTTCTGTCGTCTGTCTGCCTCTTTAAGTCTCTTTCTCTATTACTTTTTCTTTATCTCTGTGTTTCTCTTTTATTCTTTTTCTTTGAGCCCCTGCCTCTGTCTCTCATTTCTTTGTACTTGTGGGCAAGCCAGGACACACATGCATCCCCTCCGCCCCTGCAACCACCGCACACACACCACCCCTCTCTCCCTCTCCCTGTCCCTCACACACAGAGCCTTTGATCGCTGCTCTCCACACCACACCCTCCCATCCAGGCTCCCCAGCTGCTCATTTCTATCCAGTATGAATTCCTGCTGAGACAGGAACCCCCTGTGGGCAAGTGGGGGGAACTTCAGCAGAAAGACTTTCAGTTGGTCTGAGGGGAGTGGGATGGGCTCTGGGCCAGGCTTCCCTGTTAGAAGTCCAGAGTCTGGAGGAGTCAAGAAGCCCAGGGAGAGAGGCAGGAGCTTGGGCTGCCTCCCCTCTCCCTGCCACCTCCTCGATGGGTCAGTCACTTACTGTCCACATTTACCCAGATGTCACAGATGCTGAGCTTCTGGGCTTCCTCGCTTCCCTTCTCCAACAATCATGCCCTCCCTGCAACAAGGATGCAGGAGACCTTGGTGTAAGGCTGAGATTCCAGCTCCAGGGCATGCACAGTCCTGTCATGGGTTTCAGAAATGCAAAACACTTCTTAGAAGGCCCCTAAAAGGCAGCAAAGCGGAAGGCTTAGAATGCCCTGTTCCTCCTTTGACCCCAACTGTATCCCTTCTCCCTGTAGGCATTGCCAACCTTCCCATGGGTTATCCATTAAGTTGCTCATGTATTCATTAATTCATTCATTCAACAAACATTTATAGAGCATGTACTATGATCCAGGCCCTGTGCTAAACACTGGGCTATAAGAGTGAACAAGCAGAGACTGGTCAGTTAGCTCAGTTGGTTAGAGTACAGTCTTGTACCACCAAGGTCAAGGGTTCAGATCCATGTACTGGAAAGCTGCCAAAGGAAAAAAAAAAAAGTGAACAAGCAGACACGATCCTTGAACATGATCCAGGCCAGCAGAAGAGACAGAAAACTGATGACAAATCCATTCAAAAAAATCTAGTTACAAACCATAGTAAGTGCTGAGAAGAGGGTAATGTGAGTCTAATGGGGGAGGGGGATCAGGGAAGGCTTCCAGGAGGAGGTGACATTTGAGCTGAGGCTATGAGAAATATTGGGAAATTTGTGTTCCTTCTACCTACTCCCTCCTCAGGCCATACACTGTCCCTGAAGCAGAATTCACTGCTATACCTGGAATACCCATCAATTGCCTGTCATGTGCCTTTTGTTGTTTTTCATCAAATGAGAGGCTTAGTGGCCTGGAATACATGTGGGAGATCTTGGCGAGACAGAAAAGGCTTAGGAGCTCTTGCTTCCTTAGCTAACTTGCAGGAAATGGGACAAGCATGTCTGATTCAGCTCCGAAGTAGCCAAGGTGAAATCTTAGGGTCCAGTGCAGCAACTTCAACTTCCCTCCTTTATTCATTCAGCTAATAGTAAGCAGTCTCTGCAGGTCAGGTAGTATTCTAGCTATGGGAGATATAAAACAGACATAGTCCCTGTTCTTGGAAAGTTCACAGTGTATTGAGGGAGACAAATATTAACCAAATAATCACAAAAATAAATGTAAGATTGCAGCTATCATGAGTGTTATGAAGAGCAGTACCTGGTGATGAGAGCATATAATAGGGATTTGACCTGGTCAGGAAGCAGGAGGACATCCAGAAGGAAATACGGTTGTGCTGATATTTGAAGGACGAGTACAAATTAACCAGCTGAAGAAAAGAAGCAAGAGCATTGCAGATGGAGGGAAGAGCATATGCAAAGGCCCTGCAGTGCAGCCTCTCAGCATCAACAGAATGACAGGAGTTTTCTCTTTGCTGCCATTCTGATGAGTAAATTGGAATGAGGGGATAGAAGGGGAGATTTCTCTTATTCATAATAACCTGGGTTCCAGCCCTCCTCCTCTTCTCTGCCCCAGTCCCTCCCCACTGTCTCCCCCACTGCCCTCCAGCCCAGGCTGGTCAGGATACCAGGTTCAGAGCAGGACTAGTGTTGAGTTCTTCAGGAAACCTGCTTCAAGTTCAAGCCAGCAGTGTGGGTCACACTGCCTAGACAATAGGGAAAAAGACTCACATTCTGTTGTGAGGAATTTTCTTTTCTTTTTTTTTTTTTTGGCAACTGGCCAGCATGGGAGTGGGGTGTCGGGGGTATGGCAGTGGGGAGGAGGATCTGAACCTGCGACCTTGGGGTTATAAGGCTGCACTCTAACCAACTGAGCTAACTGGCCAGCCCAAGACTCACATTCTGAAGTCCCCGCCTGCCAAGTGCTCCTCCTCCTTACCACTCACTATGCCTTCTGAGGTCATCCTCCTGGCTTCTGATCCCAGCAGCAATTGTCCCAAGCTCTAAGCCCAGCAAGCCTTTTCTCCCTTCTCAGGCTGTTCTCAGCCTCTGCACTGAGGAGAGAGTCTCCATCTGGCTTCCCCTGGTCCCCACCCTGTTCTACTTTGATGGCTCCACACCACCATTCCCCAGCTCTGGATCCCTTTCCACTCCTCCTCTTCTGAAAGACACAGCCCTGCTCTCTCTCAGTTTGGGCAGTCATTCAACAAACAAACAGCAACTTAATTTTTTTCCCACTTGTAAAATAATACATGCTCATAATAGAAACATGAGAAGTAGAAAAAAAGGGTTTTTTGTTTTTTTTTTTTTTTTGTCTTTTTCCGTGTCCGGCAACGGATCGCAACCCTCAGTGTTGGCCGCCACACTTCCCAACCGGCGCACTATCCATTGGCCGCCACACTTCCCAACCGGCGCACTATCCATTGGCCGCCACACTTCCCAACCGGCGCACTATCCATTGGCCGCCACACTTCCCAACCGGCGCACTATCCATTGGCCGCCACACTTCCCAACCGGCGCACTATCCATTGGCCGCCACACTTCCCAAGCGGCGCACTATCCATTGCGCCACCGGGCCGGCCCCAAAAAAGGTTTTTTTTTTTAAAGAAAGACCACCCATAATTTCATAACCTAAGGAGAACCACCACTAACTTTTTATTTAATATGGAAAATTTCAAATATATAGAAAAGTAGAGAGAATGGTATAATGAACCTATCTGATCCCACTACCCAGCTTCAGCTAATGCCCTGTCTTGTTTCACTTGTTTCCCCATCCTCATCCCCCACTTGTATTATTTTGTTAGTTTTAAAACAGTCTCAGTAGATATAGAAAAACCCTTGGACTGTTTTGGAGCAAATCTCAGAAGTCATATAATTTCATCTGAGTCTTCACTATCTTTAACAGATGATTTCTTTTTAAGGTCCACAATTTTGTTTTTGTTTGAGTGTCTCAAGTTTCTTAAGCTCCTTTAATGTATAAGTTTTCCTTCTATTTTTGTATTTTGTACTTGTATTTCATTGAATCATTAACATATTTATATTATCTTTGTAACCTTTTTTCTTTGTGTAATCAAGCAACATGCACAAGCTTCTTTTTTAAAAAAGTCTGATTCACCTAAATTAAATTGTTCAAAAAGTTGTTCACATTTAGAATATCAAGAACTTTTATTTGAGTCAGCTGGTATATTTCTTACTGGTTGCTTTTTCTTTTTTTAAATAGTAATTGAGGTCATACTGTCCATCAGTATTATAGCCTGGTTTTTTGTTTTTGTTTTTGTTTTTTTCTTCTTTGCAATGTATCCAGAGAATCTCCCCATGTCAATAAAAATTCTTCAAATCATTTAATTGTCGCATAATAGCCCCTCATATAGACATGCTCACACATATATTTAAAGGCTAATAAGCTTTCTTCTGATACATTAAAAAGAATACACATGTATTTACATTTTAACACAATTAAATACAGGCTATTATCAGGGTGACTTTCCCAGATTTCTCACTTTTTTAGAGCATGATGCAGGGAGTATTTTATCATAGCCCAGCCTGTTGGATACTTCCTTACACACACACACCCAGCGCACCAGAATACAAACTCCTTAGAGCAAAAACTGTATCTGTCATCTTTTAAATCTTAGAACCTGTCACAGACACTGGCACATAGTGGATGTTTGGAAAATAGTCAGTTAAATGTAGTCCATCTCCTCCATTTTTATTTTTCACTATTCTCCAAATCCTGGAAGAGTCCCCTATAATCCACTGCTGAGGCTGCAGGGCCTCTCTAAGTCCCTGCATGTGTAAGATCAAGGGCTTTGGAATCATATGCGGCCTATTTTCAGTTTGCAGCTCTGCCAGTTACTGGCTGTGTGACTTTGGGAAAGTCTCTCAATTTCTCTGAGCCCTGATTTCTAATGCTGAAAAAACAGGGATGATCATAACACTTACCTGCAGGGAGGTTCTAAGGATGGAATAGATAATAGATGTATTACCAAGTCAGCCTAGTACCAGAGGATAGGAAGCTCTTAGTAAATGGTTAAAAAAGAAGTCTCTCCCCCTCCGCTCATCTCTTGTCCAGCTGGAAGTCTGCCCACCTGTTTGGTCTCCAGCCTTAAACCATTTCCTGAGAATCCTCTCTACAGTGCAGCCCATCCTGGTTCTCAGGCCCACCCTTCCACTCACCTTCATTCCTGCAACACCACTGCCCACAGCCAACCAGGCATCTTCCTAACCTCCGATGTCTGACTTCTGTTGTTCCCCCACAGCCACAAAGCTCTCCTCCCTGCTGCCCCTCCCCCTACTTTATCCCCATTAGGTCATGTCACCTGGGCCAGAGCCCACCTACCTCAGCCCTGTGCCCTCAGGCCCAAAAAGAGCTCAGTCAAGCTGGAAGTAAGGACTCCCTGATTTTCATGGAGACAGAGGTGGCTGAGGCCCCGTCACTGGGCTCCTGTCCTCCCAGAGGAACCCTCACCCCTGGTCCTTTCACAGGGACAACAGTGATCTTTAAATACTTAAATCTGATCATGACAATCCCCTTTTTTAAACACCTCAGTGACTTCCCAGAGCTCTTAGGATGAGACCAAAATCAACACCTCCCCTTGTGGTGGCCACACTGACCTTCTCTGTCCTTTCAACTCACCAAGCTCCTTCCAGCTTCAGAGGTTTGGGGCGTGTTACTTCGTCTGCCTGGAAAGCTCTCTCTAATTTTACCCCTCAACTTTTTGTTTTGAAATGTTTCGAACCTATGGAAAAGTTGAAAGAATAGTATGATGAACATCCAAATACTCTTTACTCTTTTTTCCTAGATTCATAAATTGTTAATATTTTGCATATTTGTTTTATCGTTCTCTCTCTACACACACAAACACACGCACTTTTTTTTTGAACCATTTGAAAGTGAGTTGCTGACATAATATTTGAAATACTTCAGTATATGTCTTCTAAGAACAATAACACTCACCAGCATAACCATAAAGAAATTATCACATTTGAGGAATCTAATGTTTATACAATAATATATAGTCCACTAGCAGATTTTCATAAATGTTCCAAATATGTCCTTTTAATCTGTTTTTTAAAATCCGCAGTTCAATCAAGGAACATCAATTGCATTTGGTTGCCATGTCTCTTTCCTTTTATCTAGAACAGTCTCCCTACTTTTTTTATTTTTATTTTTTATGACACAAATATTTTTAAAGAGTCCAGGCCAGTTGTCTTTTAAAACGTCATGAAGTCTGGATTTGCTGATTCTTGTCTTATGTTTAGATTCAGGTCAAACACTCTTGATAAGAATACTCCATGTGTGTTGTGTACTTCCCGCTACGTCACACTGGGAATCATTTAATGTCAGTTTTTTCCATTTGATAAGTGAGTTTCCATTTGATAAAAGAGTTGCTAAATTTGTTCACTTGCTGAAAGTGGTATCCCCAGATCTCTCCTTTATAAGTATTATAATTTAAGTGTTTGTGATCGATAAGTAATCTGTGGGTGATGCTTTGAGATGTGTGGCAACACTTCACCCAATTTTAGTATTTTAGTATTCATTGACGATCCTTGTCTGGATCTGTTTTTACATCAGTGGTTACAAAGTAGTGATATCCTATAATTCCTTCTATATTTGTTTGCTGGCATTCTCCTGCAAGTCACCTGGATAATTTTTTCAGATTTAAATTTGCTCTCTTATCCTCTGGGAAGCCTAGACTGACTGAGCTCCTTAATCCCGATTAAGTCAGGATTCTCCTTATACCCTCTGGTACCCTGCTCTTTGCCTTCATGGCGCTTGTCACAAATGCAGTTAAGTTATTGTGTAATTATTTAATATCAGACTCAATGTGCACCATGAACACCATAAAGATGGACTATTTCTGTCACGTCCACAGCTATGACCCCAGCACCTAGCCCAGTGTCTGGTACACAGTAATTGCTCAATAAATATTTGTTAAATAAATGGATATCAAACTCTAGCTCTTCCCACTGTTGAGAGGGAGAAAGGAGATTCCCTCCAACCCTACCTCTATGTTCACTGTGAGGGAGTAGAGGTGACACACGGCAGCTGTGCGTTCTGTCTTGAGCCTTAGACTGAGTTCACCTACTTGAGGATGAGAATCCCAGATCAGGGGAAACCATAAGCAGGGACAGACCTAGGAAAAATTGTAAAGATGTCCTTGGTTATGCTTACCCACCATGACAAAACACACACACACACACACACACACACACACACACACACACACACACTTTCCTGCCTTCAAGTCCTGCCTTGCAACCTTAGTGCCAAATCCTTCTTTTTACTTACCAACCTCTTCCCATTCATTCAGGGACATTTTTGTGCCAGATGGTGCAGACTGTGTGTGTGTGTGCTTGTGTGTGCGCCAGGGCTGCTTCCCCCTGCCCCCAAATTGAATCCTTAAAAATTCCAAAAAAAGAATGGAAATTGTCACTGTGGGAAAAACTCAAATTGAGTTGGAATTCTTTTGGGTCATTTATAGTTTAGTATTTTTAAAAATAATGAATCCCTTCATGTTTTTTCAATGCATAGAGCTTCCAATAGTCTTAATTAGGTCCGGGTGCTGGGCCTCAGGCCTCGGGCTTGTGCTAGGTGCTTCAGCAGGAAGCAGGCAGACACCATCCCTCCTCACAGAGGAGGTCAAGTGATGGAGGAGCAGACAGGGACAACAGCAGTCACAGTGTGACTAGTGCCACCAAGGGCAGGCATGAGGGGTGGGAGCACTGCAGAGGCATCTGACCCTACCTGGGTGGGTTTACGGATCCCCTCTAACAAATTTTATTCACGTTACCAAGGCAAAGGTTGGGGGACTGGCATTCTAGGGAACAGAATCTGTCCAGGATCCACAGCAAGAGAGAGCTCAAAGAATAGGAAAGTGCCTCAGAAAATGTTTGATGATAGAATGTTTAAGAGCAGGTCTTGGGGTGTTCTTGTAAAATAGGAGGGGCAGGTTTTTATGTGCCTGTGGATTTTATTCTGAGAGTTTAAGAAGCCATGCCATTGAAGTGATCAGATTTCAGTTTTAGAAATTACTTTCTCCCTGCTGCAGGGTCTCTTGGGGCCTCCTACATTTTCCCCTAGGTTTTCTCTAGGTTCTCACCCTTTTCTCTAGCTCTGGGACATTCTGTCCCATTTCCCACCTTCACTGTCCTTGGGAGAGGGCCTTCCCCCCCATCCTGCACCCTCCTGCTGTGACAATAAGCCACTCTCTCTCACAGAATTGGGGGTGGGGTGCAGTTTATTAAATGCATCTGAGACAGTAGAATGCTGGTTTGGGGGACTGGCTTGTGGGGATCTGCTTCTGAAGGATTGTATAAGCACGTCTTATGTTGCTGAAGGGAGAGGTCTTGGGCATGATGTGGGGATAGGGTACTAGATTTGGGAACCTCGGGAGAGGCCCAGAGGAGCAGAGCTGGGCTGCCCTGCAAGGCTGTGCTCACCATCCTGCTCTCTCCCCAGCTCCCAAAATGGCGATGAAACTGGCACCTGGCCCAACAACCAATTCGACACAGAGATGCTGCAAGCCATGATCTTGGCCTCCGCCAGTGGTAAGTGGTGCCAATGTGTGTGGTAGGATGGGAGATCTGGGGTTCTAGGGTGCATCCCATAGCCACCATGCTCACGGACTGGGTATCAATGTATGTGATTTCTCCAAATCTTTCAGCTAGTCCAAGATTCCAGGACATAAAAGCCAGGTTAAGGAACAGCAGAGGGATTGGGGGTCCTGGGATGTGCAGAGGGGAGTGAACAAGGAAAGATCTATTGAGGAGATGTGGGAAGTAGTGATTACAGGTCTAGCTCTGGAAGGGGACAGCATAAGGTCCTAGCTCTGCCACTTACTATCCTTGTGATTTCGATCCATTTGCTCAATCTCTCTAAACCTCAGTTTCCTCAGCCAAAAAAATGGGGACAGTGACCCCAAAGGGTTGTTGTGAGGATTAAACAAAATGATACCATAAAGCATAGGGCACTGGGCCTGGCACATACAAGCAGTGAGAGTGGGTGTAGACATTCCCAGCAGAGAACAGTTATGCAAGACTCCTCTTTCTGCTGCTCCTACCTCCGGAGCAGGATATTGGTTTTCCCACAGGCTAACAAAGAGCCTCACATGTAATAGGGATTCAGCCAATGGTTGTTTCCCTGAAGAGTCACAAGAGGCCTGAGCAGGGAAGCAGAATAATATCATTAGTACTTAAGAGCACAGGTGTTGGAGACATGCCAATCTGGATTCAAATCCTGGTGCCACCACTTAGCTGTGAATCCTTAGGTAAGTTATTAAGGCCCTCCGGGCCTCAGTTTCACTTACTATGAAATGGGTATGATAGTAACAGCTCTCAGTGTGGTGTTGTGAGGGCCAAATATAAGGCCTTCAGCACAGGATTGGCAGAGAGTAAGGGCACAATACATAGTGCTAGATTAATTATTAATTTTATTGACCTATAATGGGAGTGGAAGGCAGAATTGGAATAATGACTATTAATAAAGACTAGTTTCTGGAGCAATAAATCCTGGGTTTATAGAGAGGCGGGCAGAGGATTAAGGCACTGGCCTTATATAGTGAAATGACAGCCCTGCCCTCCAGCATGTCTGGTGGGTAAAGAACCAGGTGAAATCACAGTAATCACTATAATCACTCTGGGCACATGTTAAACAAACTTTATGGGCCTTATGTCAATTAATCCTCTCAACAGCTCTGCAAGGCAGGTCTGATTATTTACATTTGACAGATGAGAGAACTGAAAAGTCACTTGCCCCAAGGCCTCCACTTTTGAGCTGCAGAGCTGCAATTCTAACCCAGCTCTACTCCCAAGTTCATGCCCTTTGTACTACAGTGACAATGTCTGCCTTTAGTACCAGTCTTGGTTTCCCTCTTAGCTAAATAGGTCTAAAGGCTGAACTCCTAATGCCTTGCATTTTTCTCCCAGATTAAGGTTCTCAGATAAAACACAGGAGGCCCAGTTAAATTTTAATTTCAGATAAACAATAAATACCGTTTTAGCATAAGTAGATCTCAAATATTGCATGAGACATACTATACTAAAAAATTACTTATTGTTTACCCGAAATTCAAATTTAACTGGGCACCCTGTATTCTTACTTGCTAAATCTGGCAAACCTATCCCAGATGTATGTGAGGTTAAGTGGGGCCAGGCCTGTGGTTGATGTAAGGACAGAGGAAGGGAGAGATGACAGGGGCAGAGCTGTCCTAGGTCTGGTGGGTCTGTGATTCGAGAGGCCAGATACTGACTATGAAAGAGGCAGGCAGCTGAGTCTGGGGAGATGCCAAGTCCGGCTCTTGAGGGAAGTAAACAGGTATATTTAGCTGTTGTGGCTTTGAGCCCTAAGGCCAAGGAAGCAGGTTTTTTAGCCTAAATCCAGATGTTAGAGACAGAAATGAAATCATTATTTATAGCCCAAAACCATCTAAGAAGTTCCCCCTGGAGCGGAGGTCATGCTCCCCTGTCAAGGCTCACCCCTCTGGCCCACACAGGGCCTGACCCCAGACTAAGCCTGGGCCCTGGGGAAGGGACCCTGAGGGTGGAGATGGTGGGGTCAGGCCCTGCTCTCACTTTCACACCCACATCCTAGCCCTGGAACCAGAGAGCCTCCTGGAGTCCAGCCCAGACAGGCTGCGGGGGTGGGCGGGGGGGTGGTAAGCAAGAGGGAGAGTAAGAGCAGACACTTGGGAGGATTTTTAAATAAACATTTGTGGGGAGGTGTGTGTTCAAGGAGGCTGCGGTTGGTTTGCAGCTCAACCAGCTCTGGTCTAGCTTAACCAGGCCTCCCTGGGCTAAACTGGAGTTGCTGCCTCAGCCCTGGCAGGGGTGGGTTGGGAGGACAGGGGGTGGGGGAACGTTATGGGGCTGGGGAGCTGGGTTTCCCTGAGGAGCAGCTGGCACAGGAGAGGAGGCAAGCATCAGCCCTACCTCCTCCAGGCCAGAAGATGCCCAGGTTCTTTCTTTCTGCTTTTCTAAATCTCTTTCTTCTTGGATTAAGAAAATCCTTAGCTTTGCCCAATGTGAACCTTGCAGAGAAGAGGGTATAGAGGGAGGGGCCATTTGAGAATTGATTCTAAAGAGGGTCAAAGCTGGCAATCCAGCTTCTTCCCCTCAGATTTAGATGGGGAAACTGAGGCCTGAGCAATGCAGGGCCTTGGCCAAGGTCACACAGCTCCTTAATGGCAGAGCTGAGCAGACAGAACTCTAGTGTCAGTCTCTTTCTATTACCCTTCGGATTTCCACATCTTCTCTTCCTCCTGGTCCAGCCCAACTTCATGGCCCCCCACAAAGGTAGGCAGGGGCTGGCTTTGTCATTTTCATCTACTTGGGGTGCTTTTCAGAGAGCTTGGGTGCATGGGGCGTGTGGGTGGGCCTGGCTTCTAGTCGCTCAGTCAAGCCCTTCCTGTTTCTGCCTCCCTTCTCCCTGTTTCTACACATTTCCTACTCATTCTCTTTTGTGTGCACGATGCAAATGCGGCTCTCTCTCTCTCTCTCTCTCTCTCTCTCTCTCTCTCTCTCTCTCTCTCTCTCCTCCCCTCCCCCCTTCCCTCCTTCCCTCCCTCCTGGTGCCTCTCTGTTCTCTCCTCTAGCCCCTAAATCACTCTGGAATCCTGGCTCTTTGAAGCCAGATCTGGGCCCCTTCCCCCACCGCTCCCATTCCCCGGCTGGAAGAGGCTGACTGCCCCGGGGAGGGGGCGGGGCGCTCGAGGACCCTGCTCCCTCCTTGAGTTAATTAGGGAAAACAGAGAAATGTCAGCTGCAGGAAAGAGCCAGAGGAGGGGCCAGCCTGGGGAAGCAGAGAAGGAAGTGGGCAGCTGCCCCCTCCCAGCCACTCTTCTTCCCCGCCCCCAGGAGGCCCTCAGCTCCAGGGATCTGGGACTTGAAATGGAGGCTGTAGAAACCTGAGCGCTGGCACGTGGAGGCGGGCCCAGGCGCATCTCGGCTCTCCCTTCTCTTATGCCCTTCCCCCTCTTCTGCCGGCTTTGAAAATATTTCCTGTCTCTCCATTTCTCAATCTCTGGTTGGTGTCCCAACATTACTCAGCCTCTCCAGCTTTAGTCACCCTCTCTACCCGCTCCCTGGTCTAGGGAGGGTGCAGAGGAGGCTGGGAGGGAAATGCTCAGGCCAGCCGACCGGGCTGGGCATTCCTGGGGCTTTAACTCTCTCACTGCCACAAGGATTTCAGGCCTCCAGCAGTGAGCCCTGAAGAGTCGAACTCCCTGTTCCCCCTCTCCCACCCCCACCCAGTCAGGGAGAGTGCAGGGTGGAAGTGATGACACGCTGGATGATGGTGCCTATGACGATGACCACAGTGATGAGGATGCAGCAGCAGCTAACATGTCCTGAGCACCTACCAAGTGCTGGGCACTGGATGAAGCACATCTTATTTAATCCTCACAAAAACCCTGTGAACTAGGTACTTCTGTGCTTCTCAACCTTTAGTGTGCATATATTTTGAGAGTCTGCATTTTAAACAAGGTCCCGGGTGATGCTGAGCTACGACCAGAATGTGGACTCCTTTGGGCCTCTTTCTGCATAGTGGGAAGTTGGGCTGGAGGTGCTCTCTGATGTCCCTAGTTCTGACACCCTGAGCCCATGTCTACACTGTACCTAAGATGTCTGGTCCCCAGGAACATCATCTCAGCTCCACAGAATGTAGTTCATCCATCTTCTCTCCATCTCCCTTCCCCTCAGAGTAGGGATAAGGTCCAAGCTGCTGCTGGTGGTGACTATACCCTCCAGCACGCACTTGGATATGTTTAGGCCTGAATCCCACTCTAACACACTGTCTGGTAAGGCCCTGGGCTAGTCTTTTGTCTTCTCTAAGCCTTGTAAAGTGGGGATAATACCACATAGCTCACTGGTTGATGTGTCGAGGTTAGAAGTGATCACGCGTGTGAAACATCTAGCAAAATGCCTGGCAGAGAATAGGCAGTCAAATGCTGTGAAGAAATGAATGCTTGGAAGAGCACCGCCCCCCCAGCCCCAATTAATAATGGAACTACTGGGTACCTGCTCTGTGCCAGGCACTGGTTGAAAAAGGACAGGAGTATGTACTACCATGGTCACTGCTCTCAGGAGCCCATGGCCTGGTTTGGAAGCCAGAGGCTACCTTGAGAAGGACTACGGCAAGGATTTGGGAGCCGGTGTCTCAGCCCTGAGAGTAACACTAGCTAACATGTTTTGAGCACTTACCATGTACCACGCATTGTTCTATGTTCTTTACATATATTTTCTTATTTAGCTTTCACCAAAACCAGAAGACATGGATACTATTATTATCCACATTTTGCAGATCAGAAAACTGAGATGGCATATGAAGGTTAAGTAGATTTGCCCAGGATCACAGTAAGAAAAAGAGCTAGGAATCAAATCTAGGCTTTCTTACTCCAGAGTCTCTCATCCTCTACTCTCAACTCCTTGTGGACAGAGACTGACTTAGTGACCACTGGATTCCCAGAACTTGTGGTCAGGGCCTAGGGTGCTTTGCAGGCATTCCTTAATGGTTTCTGGTATAAAAGAGTGACTGTTGAGGATCCTAAGTTTAGCCCCCATCTGTTATCTGCACTTTTTAAAAAAAAATTTTCTCCCACCTCTGCTTTATTTCCTTATTTTTAATTTTTTCATGGCTGACTGCTAGAGGGAACTGAACCCTTGACTTTGGTGTTACAAGGCTGCTCTCTAACCAACTGAACTAACCGGCTAGTCAGCCCCCGTCTAATCTTCCTTTGTCTCTGCAGAAGCTGCTGACGGGAGCTCCACCCTGGGAGGCGGTGCCGGCACCATGGGCTTGAGTGCCCGCTATGGACCCCAGTTCACTCTGCAGCATGTGCCCGACTATCGCCAGAATGTCTACATCCCTGGCAGTAATGCCACACTGACCAACGCAGCTGGCAAGCGGGATGGCAAAGCCCCAGCAAGTGGCAATGGCAATAAGAAGAAGTCTGGCAAGAAGGAGAAAAAGTAATGTGGAGGCCAAGCCTAGAGCCACAGGGCAGCCTCCCTCCCCAACCAGTCCAGCTTCTCCTTACCTGTACCTAGGCCTCAGAATTTCAGGGCTCACCCCCAGGATACTGGTAGGGGCCAAGGCCATGCCCCCCTTGGGAAACAGAAACAAGTGCCCAGTCAACACCCCCCCTGTCTGCCCCCAGGGGGTTGAATATGCAAAGGGAGTTCTGCTGGGAACCCCCGTCCAATCAATTGCTGTACCCATGGGGATAGTAGGGTCAGTGTAGACACCAAGAACCATTTGTCACACCCCCTTCAGTTACAGCTGAACTTCTTCATCTTCTAAATCAATCAGGCCCATCCATCCCCTGCCACCCTCTTCCCTATCCCACCCACTTCTTCAGTAGATCCTCTCTCTTTAGTAAGGTGGTTGGGGTGTCGAGGTACCTAAAAAGGTCATAGTTCTGAAGAGTTGGAAGGGCATCTTGACCTCTTGGCCTCTCCTTCAATTCTCAATCTTCCCCCAAAGCATGGTTTGGTGTCAGTCCCTTCACCTCCTTCCAGAGCCTGAGACCAATGCTCAAGTTTTGAGGGACATGGTCACCATTCCCATGCTACTGATGTTTGCTGGCTTTAGGGAGGGCATTTTGCTACCAAGCCTCTTCCCAACACCCTGGGGACCGGTCTTTTGTTTTGTTTTTTCATCGTTGGATGTTCTGATTGCATGCTGTGACTTACCTAACCCCTTCTCAAAAAGAGACTCCATTGCATGTTCCAGGACAGTATGGGGTAGTGAGATAAAGAAGGGAAGTGTATGTATGTGGATGGGGGAGATGACCAAAGCTTGACCTTCAGTTAACAGGGTCTTGCAGGAGGCTCTGTACGTCCCCGTGGTACTGACCAGATCCCCAAATTCCAGCCATAAACCAAGCACCAGGCTGGACCCTCCACCCTCCACATATAGGGCTCAGCCTAGGCAGCCAGCTTTGGGCTGAGCTACCAGGACCAATGGATTTAAACTGGCATTTCAGCCCAAGGAAGCTCTGAGTGGGTTTAGAACCAGGTCCCCCAGAGAGGTCAGAGGGGCTTCTGTGGGTGGTGGGTACTCCAGAGGTAACAGTGGTGGAAGGGTCAGTGGAGCCCCAGCAGGAGGGAGGGCCAGCTAGGCCATTCTTGGTCCCTGGGAACAGGGACCAGAGTGACAGAAAGTCTCAGCCCAGGATGAAGCTTCTTCACAGGGCTTCTGCACGCCTCAAGCTTTGGTCCTTCACCTTGCCAGGTGCCATTTCTTCTCTGTGAAGGCCACTGCCCAGGCCCCCAGTGCGCCCCCTAGTGGCAAGAGCCTGGTTAAAGTCCCCCAGTGCCTCCTTGTGCATAGAACTTCCATTGCTCTTCCCTAGCTGCCCCCGGGCTCCCGTTCATCCAGCGGGGCTTCGAGAGAACCCCACCCCAGTCCCTACAGTAGTGTAGAGCCCCCTCCCTCTTACGGCCGGTGTAGAATAGCCAATAGTGTAGTGCGGTGTGCTTTTACGTGATGGCGAGTGGGCAGCGGGCGGCGGGCTCCGCGCAGCCCTCTGTCCTTGAATCTGCCTGCGGCGGCCCGTGCTGTGTTTTGTGCTGTGTCCATGCGCTGCGGCGACCCCCTCCCCCGTACTGACTCCTATAAGCGCTTCTCCGCGTAGTCACGTAGCTCCCACCCCCTTCCTGTGTCTCACGCAAGTTTTATACTCTAATATTTATATGGCTTTTTTTCTTCAAAATAAATAAACGAAAAGGTTTCTTCTGAAAGGCTGAATGTTTCTGTGTTAAGAGATGGAGGCTCCTGGCATGTGTGAATGAAGTGATGAGCTGAGAAGTGTATTGCTGGAAGAAGAGAGGGCTCGGGAGACGATTATTGTTTGGGTCATTGCGCGTCTAGATGTTTCTGAATGGCCTGTGTGTGTTGCTGCCGCCTGTGAGTGTGACTCCAATATGGCTGTGTATGTTTGCAATACCGCTGTGCCTATGTAACATGTGCGATTGACAGTAACTGGGTGTGCTTGTGGATCAGTATACCATTGTGTGTAATCGGCTTGCGGGTCTGTTGTGGGGGTGGGGAGTTTTGAGTGCGGCGTTAGTGTGCAATTGAATGTGTGCACTTGTATGCTTGCAGCTGTCTCTGTCATGGTTCTAAGCGCCTGTCTCCAGGCAGAAGAGGAGCCCCCGGCACGGGCGGGGACGGGCTCGCGCTGGGGAGGAGGCGGACGACTTTTCCTTAGTTCCCGCCCTTTCCCCACTAAAATTGCCTCCCCCCCAGCACTCTGGAGGGCTTCGCTGGAGGAGCGGGGACTGTCTTTTGCTCGTCCCCTCTCACCCGCTCTGCCTAAGGGTTTGGGGAACACCGCGGGAGTGGGAGGGAATGCGGAAGGTGATTCTCGGAGGGCCGAGTCTGTAGCTTGTCTCAGTTTCCCCATCTGGAATTCGCCTTTCCGCTCACCTCCCCCGCAGCGAAGACTGGAGGGCTCGCCCCTTTCTTGCGGGAGTCAAGGGGACTGAAAGGGTGTTCGGGAAGTGGGATTGTCCGCAGACCCAGCTCGCCCTCCCCCCTTCCTCTCTCGGTGCTTTTCCATTCACTCGCCTGCTCCCCCATCTCCCCTCCCCCTCCGCCTGCCTCCTCGAAGCACTGTGGGATTCCGAGGTTGCTGCAGCTAGAAAACTGCAGGAAATACCGCGGGGGGAGGACTGGGAGGGGTTGAAGGACAGACATAAACATACAAACCCACTGGGGTTATCAGCGGAGTCAGCGAGGGTATGCCCAATCGCAGGGCTGGGGGAGGCTGTCTCCGGGCTTCCTCAGCGCGGAGGCTCTCAGAGCCGGGTCACCACCCGTTCTGCCAGCTCCTTGTCTGTTGTCATGGAAACCAAACCCTCCAACTAAGCATCTGGGGGCGACTTTCTTGCGTGGGAGGAAGGGTGGTGTGTGCGGTTGCTGCGATGGAAGCAGGGTTTTGTTTCTCAGAGCCAGGCTGCGGAGGGGCGGGGCGCCGGGCGCCTGGGTTCTATTCCAGGCAGCAGACTGGCAGAGAGCGCCTGAGCAGTTGCGGTTGGTCCCCTACTTGCTATGTGTGCCTATAAAGCTGAGCCAGAAACGCGTGGCCTCTGGGGTAGAGCGAGGGAGGAGGCAGGCAGCCCACCCCCACACCTCTGGCCACACTGGGGAGGCAGCTGCTCAGGCTCCAGGGCTATTTAAAGTGTTTTTACTTCTAGTTTCAGTCCTGTTCACAGGGGTTTGTGGTCCTCTCCAGGGTCCCTCTCTGTCTATCCTGGGTCTGTTCATTGCTTGTAAGGTTTCTCTGTGAGGGTCACTAGCTCAGACCAGTATGGCTCTGAGTGGCAACTCATCTGGAGCATGATCTCGGGTTTCTGACCTTTGCCGGGCAGGTTCAGGTTTCCATCCCAGTGTATACCCCTTTAGTCTGGAAGGTGGCCACCAAAAAAGCAGTGGCAATGGGAAAAGGGGAGTTAGATGCTTCCCTCAGCAAAAGGCACAGGCACTGCCAGGAAACTGTGTGACACCTGGGGGATGTGGAGAGTTAGAAGTGAGTTCACGAAAAGAGCTCCAAGCCAAGAGGCAGCAATGTGGAAGAGCTGGGGACCTGAACTATCCACCTTCTCCTTTATGGAGGGTAAATGGCCCTGAGGGTGGCTTCTAGCAGGGAAGAAGCCACCATGTATTAATCATCTCTAACCCTGTGCCCAAGCAAAGGTCTGGCACCTTTAGCTTTTCGGCAATGATTTGTCAGGTCAGCCAAGGGTTTGACACAGGGAAAGAGTAGAGGAGCCTTGACTAGAGTGAAAAGAAAAGAGCTCAGAAATTCACAAAGAAGGCTGTAATGCAGTCCTGTTTCAATGCTTTATTAACAGTTGGAAACAAACCCAACAAATGGAGGTGATGACATCCCAAAAGCCCAAGAGGCAAGGGAAATAGGTTTGCATTTTGTCTCCACTGCTTTTTTTTTTTTTTTTTTTTAAATGCATCTTAGCAAAAGTAGATTTAAAAAGAAAGGGTCAAAGCCCCAGATGTCAGCAGGGAGAAGGTGACCAAGGGGAGCAACAGGCCCCCTGCACCATAGTCTTCCTGGGAATAGCTCAGAGGAACCGCCATTGCCCCTTCATACACGGGCTCTAGCAACCAACCCCTCCTTCCTGACTGCATGGCCTCCCTGTATTTGCCTTCAAGTCTCCTAAGCTCCCCTCTTGCTCTAACAACTATCATTCTGGACCAAGCCCTAACAGTGCCATTCTCTCTCCCTGGGGAAAAAGGTTTGCTTTTTTTTCCCCCTTTTTTTTTTTTTTTTTTTTTTTATTAAATGCATCTTAGCAAAAGTAGATTTAAAAAGAAAGGGTCAAAGCCCCAGATGTCAGCAGGGAGAAGGTGACCAAGGGGAGCAACAGGCCCCCTGCACCATAGTCTTCCTGGGAATAGCTCAGAGGAACCGCCATTGCCCCTTCATACACAGGCTCTAGCAACCAACCCCTCCTTCCTGACTGCATGGCCTCCCTGTATTTGCCTTCAAGTCTCCTAAGCTCCCCTCTTGCTCTAACAACTATCATTCTGGACCAAGCCCTAACAGTGCCATTCTCTCTCCCTAGCTGGGGGTGGGAAGCTAAAAGGGGCACAAGGAGAGCAAAAGGGTCACCCTGAGCCAGAGAATCTGAGTTTCCTGTGGATGGGGCCACCAAACAGTTTGGTCTGCCCACTGTTCAGAAGGGGGGGGGGTAAAGGTGTGGGGTGCTCCCTGTGCCCAGTTCCCCAGAGGGTCCATTTAAGCATTTGTACATTTGGCTTGATAAATTTATTAAACTCATAAAAACTCGGTGGTCTCAGAGCTCCCACTATTCTTAGGCCTGGCCCAGCTCAACCAGAGAAGAGATTCTTCCTGCCCCAGAATTGATGCTGGGAGAGAGAATCTGTCTTGGCCTCAAAGATATAAAAGGCTTGATGGCTGAGGTGAAGGTCCAGGGGCATGTTCATGATTGAGGCCTGTGGGGAGAAACTCCAGGAACTCTGGAACCTGCCATCAAAGCCTCTTACATTATGGAGGAGAAAGGGGGAAGGAAAAATTATTTTTCTTTAAAAAAATTTTGTTTTCATACAAAAATAGATCCATTTGCAAAACAATTTCTCAGCCAGGAGGCTCCACCTCCCAGTTCCTTGGAGACAAAGGGTGAGGTGTTGGGATGGTCACAATACAGCTCATACTGCAGATGAGATGCACCAACGCTCTGGGGGAGGCATGAGGAGGGACCTTAGCTCAGTAGCCTGGGTGCTGGTGCAGAGGGTCCAGAAAGGCAAGGGACATAAAGCAAGGCAGCAGGCTAGGGGTTGTTCCCACACTGTTGCTATGCTCTGCCTGCCTGCCCACAGGCTCTGGCCTGGGCCACAGCAGAACAGATAAAGTGGTTCAAATCCTTTTTGTTTTGGGAGGCCTTGCTAGGAAAGTGGGGTAAGGGTGGGATTTGCTCCCCACTTCCTCAGAAAGCAGTTCCCAATGCCACACCACTAGTAATAAATAACAATAGCCAGGAGAGGAAAGAGAAGAGCAGAGGTAACAGCAAAGAAAAGAGGGATCTATCAAGCCCAAAGTTTCGCAAGCCCCATGCTGTTCTCAGAGCCAGAGAAACCACAAAAGAAAAGCACAAATCCAGCAAGACTGACCTACAGGAAAGCCCACTAGGAAGTCAGGGGCTGAGCAAGCAGGTTGGGCCTCATCTGAGATGAGGTCCTCTGAGTAATAGAGAGGAGACAGGGTTAAGGCAGCAAACATGGACCCTGCTTTGGTAATACAACAGCCAGGGCTGGCTGGGTTGGGCTCAGGCCTCCCCCATACTGCCCTTTCCTTCTGGCCTCCAGGCAGCTGAAGCTGTATGTGATGTTCAGAGAGCAGTAGGCCATAAAGAAAGACAGAGTCAGGGTGGTGGGAGTGGCCATCCCAAAGGAATATCCATCCCCCCTTGACCCTCAGGCACACGCTGCAGGGCAGGACAGTCTGGGGCCTCTTTTAGGAGCTGCTGCGGCCACAGGATACAGCTTAGCTTGCGCGGCCAACCAACTCCTTGGCTTCCTCAAGGATTGTGGGGACTCCCTCACTCAGCCTGGACGCCTTGGCAGGAACAGGAGTCATGGCATCATCCTTGGTCAGCTCCGAAGCCAGCACAGATGTGACTGCACACCCGGCCTTCCTGTTGGCTGCAAGAGAAGACATGAGAGATCCCATCCTAGTTCTAATCTCTTCCAAACTCTACAGCAGACATTCAGCCAGAAGCCATGCAAATATGGCTGCCTTGTCTGGTTCAGAGAGGTCCTTACTTTGAAGAAGGAGGGACAGAGGTCCAACAGGTGGACTGTAACTTTGGATAGCAAAGAGAGTGTGGGGCAATAAGAGAGCAAGCCTTGTCCTTGCCTTCTCTGTGTGAAAATAGTACAAAGGTTTGATTGCAGCTAGACAAAACTGGGTTAAGTGTTGGCTACATTACTTAAAAAGAGATCAAGTATTCAAAGTCTATTTTCTCATCACAGCGTTGCTGGAATTAAATAGGCTAAAGCTTAGTATATAACATTAGTTTTGTTTTCTTGGCAGTTCCCAGGAAGCTCCTAGGCCAAAATACTTCTCAGTCAGCCCCAGGAGGGTTGTCCCTAGCAGAAGGTAGCCTTCAACAGACTGCTAGAAGGACTCCTGCAAAGAGGAGGAGCAGCCAGTCTCTGGCATCCCATACAACTCCTACAACCAATGCCCACATGCCTAGCTCTGTCCCACCTCTTCAAGGGTAGCAGTTGTGACAGAAATGCCAAGGGCCCTACAAGGTGTGTAGAGTGTGGGTGAGGGGCAGGTGTGGGAAATAAAAGGTATGTCAGGGAAGGCGGAACTAGGATCAAAGATGGCCAGGAGGAAACCCCTATGAAGAAACCTCAGCCCATTTGGCTAAGGGATTGTGAAGTTCCAGTTGTCATCCCAAATAGAAAGAGAAAAACCAATCGATCCACAAGCTTCTGTTCTAACTGCTGGGATCCATCCCCAAGACTCTCATTTTCATTTATGGAATCCAGACTTATGGCCCTAGTATCTTCAACAGGAAGGCAGCTCCTTGGGACCATGCCCGTCTCATGAAGTTTGCCTCTTCCTATGCCCTAGAAGCAGGACAGAGAGATTGCATGTACAGAAAGAGCTGCCTAAGGTGAAAGAAGCCAGACACAAAAGGCCAAATACCTTATGATGCCATTTCTATGAAATGCCTACAGAATAGGCAAACCCATAGAAAGTAGATTAGTGGTTGCCAGAGGCCAGGGTAGGGAAGAATCACAAGTGACTGCTAATGGGTATGGGGTTTCTTTTGGGGATGATGAAAATGTTCTAGAATTAGATGGTGGTGGTTGCACCATCTCGTGAATATACTAAAACTCTTGAATTGGACACTTTAAAACAATGAATTTTAGGTATGTGAAATTATAACTCAATTACAAACAAAAACAAAGACCTAATGGGGACCCGGGAAAGCTGCAGTGTAGAAAGTAGTGCCTAAGCTTTAAAGAAGCAGGACCAGGTGAAAGAGCCTAGCATTCCTAAATGAGAACTGCAGGCCTAGGGCAGCTGTAGGACATGAGCAGGAAGGAAGAAGAGTCCAGAGGAGGCAGTGAACAAAGTGTTTCCTTTGGACCAGCAAAAAGCTTTAGGTAGGCAGAAGCCAAACGGGATCAGAGAGCCCAAGTCTTCACCAGGGCTGTCAGTCTCCCTGTAAAGCCATGACCCAGAGCCAGTTTTCACACCAGCAGAGGCTAGCCACAGGTCAGGCACGGAGCATACTGCATGCCCACAGGTTACCAATTTATAGGTTTCTTCTGCCTCCTCACAGGCGGTACAAGGGGTTGTCTACCAAAAGGAGAAAGAATAGTGAAGACTCTGACTGACAGCTACAATGGCTTATGTGGTTACACATCAGACGTGTAAGACCTAGACTCTGGGGATTTCACCGAACTACTCACTGGATATGAACAAATACTACTGCCTCAGTGACTAACAGGTGAGGAAAACGAGCCCACTTGACAGTTTACATGTACATGCTTCTCCTATCTACCTTAGTGTCTCCTCACCAGCAAAATCTTCCTTAACCTGCTTAGTTTTCCCTCTTCTGAAGTACTACCGTCTCTAGGATCCCATTTCTCATGTCCAGAAAGGCAGTGGTTTCATATCACTTTACTGCTCCTTTGAATTCAGTCTCCAGCGGTTGAGAAAATACTGCAACTATTTGTGTGTATGTGACTCCAGTGGTGTGCATATGTTGAAATAACTTGACTCCAGACCCTGGGAAAAAGAACACCAGGCCTTCAGAGACACTTGTCCTGGACAGCACAGAAGTCAGAGTTCAAGTGTGGCAGGTCTTAAGCTGCTTCCTTCTTTGGTTTCTTCCTCTGAACTAAGAAGATACCAGTTGTACCTAATCAAGAAGTATTTCTAAATTTTCCTAGACTCAAAAACCTTCTGGCTGAGTTTACTTCCATTAAAGCCACAAAATAAACTTTTAATAATTTTTTTAAAAAGCTTCTGATGCATTACAAATATAAGAACAGGAGCAGATGGTAGGTGGGGAGATGAAAATTTCTCTTTTAACTTCGGAAGTAGGTACACTAGGAATGGACAGATGTGGCCTTAAGGTCAGGGATGAAAAAGCTCCTATGGGAACTGGCAACAGAATCCAGACATTCCACTCCAGTGCCACCAATATGCTGAGCAGTTTAAACAATCAATAAAAACTGGACTGGCCAGTTAGCTCAGTTGGTTAGAGCATGATGTTGGTTAACACCAAGGTCAAGGATTTGAATCCCTGTACCTGCCAGATGCCAAAACAAAACAAAAAACCTGACCTCTCCTCTTCTTTGCTTCACCTCAGTACTTATTAAGACAGAGCCAGATAAACATAGATATAGATATAGATATAGATATATTTTGTTGTTGTTGTTGTTGGCGGCTGGCAGTATGGGAATCTGAACCCTTGACCTTGGTGTTATCAGCACCATGGTCTAACTGAGTTAGGCTAAATGGTCAGCATAAACATCTTAACTAGAAGGGATATGGGACAAGTCTTAACTCGTAAGAGAACAGTACCACAGACCAGGGGGGAAAAGAGAACAATCTTGAGATACTGGTCAAAGCTCTCTGAAGCCAGATTCCTAGAAGTTAGGGGCAGGCTAGGATAAAAACACCAGCAAAATCAACAACATAACACTAGTATAGCTGAATTAGAAAAAGCCTAATGATTTAGAAAAAGACCATTATAACATGCAGGCCAGCAGCTATTGCTAAAGAGGAAGTGCTCTTGTTAATAAGCTTCCTTTGGGAAGAGGAAACTAGGACAGATGGGGCAATCGTTACCATCCAAAATAACTCATTAGTGTCTAAAACTCTTCCAGTTATACTTCCTGCCCTATTTTTACAAAAGTAAAGGGAGAATACCTATATAAGTGGTGGTACAGGAAACACTCTTTATTTTCTCTAGACAGGTGATCATCAGAAAACCTCCCTAAAGCAATTTCACCAAGCCCTGGACTTGGATTCACAAAAGTGGGCTATAGTTCTGTCTCTAACATTCGCCAGCTATGTAGACCTGGGCAAGACTTATCTGGGTCTTAATTCCTTTTACCTATGAGCAGGTTAGATACTAACCTCCAGAGGTCTTTAGAGTCTTTCCAACTGTAAGGTTCTATTAGTATAGGTTGAGCTTATAGGGAAGCAAGAAGTGGTAGAGGAAAGGAAAGGAAGAGAGAGATGAATTTTTTTCTTCCCTTGGCTTTTATCCCAGGGAGCAAATGGCCTGTGTATAAGAGGCCATAATTCAGACATGGAGATAAAGTTGAGTCATTAAAACCACAAGCTGACTCAATTGTGGGCCTGAAATAGTAGCTGTAATACAATCACATGGATTCTTCCCCTTGACACTCAAACCATTGTTCTCCCACACCCTGCAGATCACAGCAGTTTACATGTTGCTTTTAATGAACCAGCTCTGATAGTAACTCTCCTCTTCCAACTCAATGGGTCTTTGTATACTAGTCACTCCCTAGGGTTTCCAGAGACTCAAAGATTTTAACATTCCTTTAAATTCTAGGGAAAAGGCTAGTGTCTTTGAATAGGGACAGCTGCCTCTCTGGGAATAAGGAGGGCGGTGAGGAAGATATGCTTGACAGGGCTTCTGTTCCTTTGGTTCAAAGCATCAGCCAGGGGAAACAGAGACAGCCAAACAAGGGGTGGAACAGCCAAGTCCAGTAGCCACTTAGGGAAACCTACCACCATTAGAGCCTTTATATTTTGAGAATGGGGCCTTCCAGGTCCAGACTCTCCCTTTTCCTCGTAATCCTATTGTCACTATACAAAAAAGAGCTGGAAGGGACCATGGAGAACATTCTAGTCCAATTCTCATTTTATACTTGAGGAAACTGAGTGACTCACCTTAGGTAACACAGATGGCATCAGAGCTAGATTTGACTTTGGGTCTTTTGATCCCTACCTAGTCTTATGCTCTTCGCTCTCCACTTTGATGCCTATCCTTCTGTTTAATGTGAGGCCACATCACATCACTTTACATGATGATGTGAATGCACCAAGGTTTACAGAGCTAACCAAAGTAGCTAGAAATGTCTCCCCTGAGAGATTCTCTTAGATGCACTCTGATGTGTTTAGTAAACCCAGAGCCCAAAAGATAAGGTTACAGGCTGGAGCCAATTAAAAAATATGTAATTATCATTTCCACCTTCTTTTCACTTCCATATCTCCTATGAGTCTCCGTCTATTCCCTCTTGCACTGTGAGACAGTACTTTGACTGATCCAGGTCCTTTGCTGAAAGGATAGGTTCTGAAAAAACCCCTGCTTCTTCTACCTGTGAATCCCAGCTTCCCACTTGGAAAAGAAATGGAGAATGGGGCCTCCCCAGCAGAGACAAGCCATTGATATCTGGCTGCCTGTGTACAGGAAGCATCTGGGATTCTAGTATAGTTCCACAGGAAGAGGCTTTAAAGGGAATTCCCCACCAAAAGCCCAATGGAGACTGGCATTTAGCTGAGATGGTTGAGGAAAACAGTGAGATGCAAAGTACAGTTGTTAGGCTAGAAATGCTTAATGTAAAGCCACTTCACCTCAAATGATGGGTAGGAAACAAATGTTGCAAGAACCTCTAAAGATTAAATACAAAAGTAATGCATACTACTGGCTGTGCTCTCTACCCAAGCACCTAATCTGTGAGACTAAATGCTCTATACCATAGAATTCTAAGCCCTTCATACTAACCTTTCCTCCCCTTTAGAGAGCCTGTATTCAGAGGATGTCAGAAAATGGATGTGTTGTGAGTAGGGATTCTTCTGCTTAGGGAAGGATCTGAAGTCATACAGAGGAGCCCTCAGAAGGGAATTTTCTTATGGGTATTCACAGTATAGTAGAAATAGGTAGCCAGTCATTAGAGATGAAACTCATGGTTTTCTATAACACTTGGGTCAGGATACTGAGTTTATATGGGCTAGCATGCTCTACAACCTTGATTCTAAGGTCCCCTTTCCAGGCTGTGACAGGTACTACAGGTCTTACTACCACCGTACTAATAGCTAAACAATGGCTAAAAGCAAGCCATATAATTTTTCTCTTTACAATAACCTCAAAGTAAAGCTCTTATAAAATGGGCCTATAAGAGTGCACCAACCAGGGAATAGGGAACACAGCTTTAACTCCTTCAGAAGTAGAAACCTTTAATGTAGGCTTTTCTGTAATTCCCACCCTTCAATGTGGGAAAGAAGCCATCACTCCTAACCCCAGAGGGTCTTTAGTAAACACAATGGTGCGGGTCAACCCCACATGAGGGGAAGCCCTGGCTATACCTTCTTTTAGACTAGTCTCTTGGCCACCGTACGCTTCCTTCAAGGGAAGCTTATCCATTAATCCTTTCCCATACTAATGCCTAGATCATTTGTCCTCCTAGCTCCATAATTCTTCTTAGAGGCTCTGGCTCAATGTAATCCACTTAAATCTTTAGAAGGTTGGGAGACGAGGTTGTGAGGGTGTGAAAGGGGGAAGGAAAGGACAATAGAGGCTAACTGCACCCATGGAAAAGGTAGTTGTCAGATACAGCACAATCCTTCAACAGTGATGCTCCTCTATAATCTTATATCTGGGGATAACGATGCCGAACCTTCTCTGTATAGGATTTTATACTATTATTAGTTTTCTCCATATATGTCTTCTGCTTGTGAAGTTGAGAGTTGAGAGTAAGAACTCTTATTTTTTCTTTGCATTTCAATCCATACCTAATACATAGTTTTGTATTTAGGTCAATTTTTGTTCAAATACACAAATCCCCACTCAAATCCCTCTGTTCTGCTGTATGGGTCCCTTGTTCCAAATTTCTGCTTCAAGAGTGGGGAGAAATGTGAAAATAATCAAATGTAGCTGATTTGTTGTCAGTCCTTCAAACCCTTGTTTTCTAAGTCAGTACTTTCTAACATGGGAAGAAGAGGACTAGATAATGTACTTTAGATGCAATGACTCTTGTGGAGAAGTTTCTAAACCCTTAGAGTATCATCATCTGCTCTTCAGCCCAAGACTAGCAGGACCAGGAGCAGAAAGGACTCACCCCCTTCAATACCCAGGCTGGGGTCCATTTGATTACTTACCCTGACGGGGCCCTCTCTTCCGTCGGAATGCTGCCCCCGACTGCAGGGCTTCTAGAAGACTATCCATCACACCTGTCTCATCGCCTTCTGTCATAAACAAAGATGGAGATGTAAACTTTTCAGCTGGAGCACTATGGCAAGTGTCAAGTTCCCCACAAAAAGCATAACTATTGCTTGGGTTCCCTTCTCCCATAGTGGCTGGCAGCTAAGAAAAAAGAGGGTTCAACCTCAAGTCACACAGGCCCATGTTTACTTGTATGGTTTAAAAATGGTTGAAACAAAAAGATTTCATTTCCTACTATCCAGTGCAAGCCTTGGGATATTTTCCTGCAGCACCATTCTCCCTGCCCCAATCAGGACTAGCATACAACTGCAGAACTGTCCAACTCCAAGACTAGGATAAGTACAGAGACTGTGGTTGTGAAATAAATAAGAAACTGTATCCCTCCTTCTTTATCCTAAAGAGTTTCACTCCAATTTATATAAACTTCTCACAGACAATCTGGTTCAGGTTTCAGAGGTGGCTGAAGACCACTGATTAATGATGAATTTCACTTAAGTACTGCCTCCATTTGCTGCATCTTCCTTGAGCCAGCTCTGCATCTAAGAGGAGCAGCCTGACTGGAATACAAAGAGTTAATGCAGAATCCTTTTTCTAGCCGGCTCAGTTTCTATGGCAACAGCTCAGGTTAGCGAAATCTGAAACTGTGAAATCCCAAGGAGCCCCCATCCTGGGGCTCATTGCTCCCAGCACCACCTGCTGGCTGAACATCGCCAGTGCAGCTGACCTATATTCCAACCTCATTTGTTTGACCCGGGTTCTGGGAACGGAGGCAAGGTCCACTACACCACCTGTTGACTGGGTACAGCCCTCAACCCACATGTCAGCTGGACTTCACTCACCCCCACTGTATCCTAGCCAGTACCTTGGGACAAACTCGGGTGTGGGGGAGAGGCGCGGAGGGGAAGGTGAAGGATACTTGATGTGTACATTACTAGAACAAAGTTTGTGGCTTACATACAAGTGAGGTAAGGGCAAGGGAACTGCTTTCCAGAAAAGTATACAGAAAAGCCCCTGGGAGCAAGAGGTGTTAGAGCAGCCCTTGCTGCTTGTGCTCAGCAAAACTCTCTGATTCTTAATAGACCTGGCAGCCCTGAGAACCCCTTTGACTTGCAGGAGGGTGGAGCCCCTCAGGTTCAGAGAAGGGTGGCATAGGCTCAGTGCCCCTGAGCAATGTATGCTGTATTTCCTCTGCGCTCAGAGAGAGCAGCAGGGGTTGGGGGTGGGGTCAGTGAATCAGCAGCAGGAAAGAAACAGAGACAGGAAACAGAGGGCCAGTAATTGAGACCACATGTTTCAACAAAGACATGCTTCTAGTAGTGAAATAGATTCTTCTGAAAAAAGAAGAGGGTGATCAGGTCCCCACCCCCTTCCAGAAGTTCAGTGCATTTACAATCGAATAGGTGTGTACAACTGTGCTAAGGAACTAGGGACACAGTACTTTGTGAAATAAGCAGAAAGGGAGAACAAACCAATGATAAAAGATGGGAAGAGGGTCAGAAAAACATTTTAGGAGGAAAAAAAAAAAGGTTTAGTGGAGAGAATGAGAACAGGCCAGAGGAACCTTTGGACGGGCAGAAGGAAAGAGTACGTGTTACAGCCAATACTAAAATCACTGGGGAGATGAAACATAATGCAAGGACCAGCAAAGGAGAGAAAAAGATTTTAGCATGGAAAACTGGAATGTGCACATAACTGAATTGGGGTTAAAAGTCCAACATCAGGATCTTAGAGGTAGAAAGCTGCCAAAAGTCATTTGCCAGGAGTTGAGCTCAGACATGAGCTATTCTCTCTGGCTCCTAGATTGTACACAAAGAAGCCTTCCAAATGTTCCTGTCTCAACCCATCAGCCCTTCTTCACTTCTTACCTGCATTCATGTCTATGAGTTGCTCTCTCTTCTGCTGCTTCTCTAGCCGCTCCTTTTCTGCCTTCTCCTTGGCTAGTTTTGCTCGCCGCATCTTTTCTTCTGTCTCTCGCCGCTTCTGGTTCTCCTTAACTGCTTGCTGTTGGGGAAAAAAAGAACATGTGGGCATGTTTATACTCACCACAAGCCAACGTGAAACCCCATGGAAAGTAAGAAAAGTCCATAAAAGACTCAATCGGCAGGTATCCCTTGCTCACCAAAAACATATTCTTAAAGTTGTGCAGATCCATGAAGAATTCTTCCACAGACAACTTCTTGGGATCAAAGAGGAAGTACTCGCCCAACTCCTTATAGAGGGTCTCCATGTTAGAATGCATCATCCGCAGCTTGTTATACTGTTCCTGTGCATCTTTCACAAAGCTGTGCAGCCAAGAAGTAAAGGACCAAGATCAAGAAGCAGACACCCCTTTCCAGCCGAGAGAATCACTCAAAGATGCGTACTGGCATGCACAAGGATTTTCAATATAGCACTGTTTATAAGTGCAAAAAAGAGAAGCAATCTAAATATCCGAAATAGTGGAAACGTAAACCATATACTATGGTACACCTATAGAACAGGAGGTGGCAATATAAAGAGGCTGTTTTGCACATACTACTATGGAAATAGGAATGGCTAAGACATATTATGTGCAAAAAGCAATACAAGGCAGTTTTTGTTTAAAATAAATTCATGAGATGTAAATCAGAAAGAAGTTCAGTGGCACTGGTTACCTCTGGGAAAGGGAGGAAGAGGGGAGTGTGTATGTGCAGTAGGGGCACAGGATAGGAGAATCAAGGGGGACCTTTCAGCTTATCTGCACGGTTTGCTTCCCTTGCCACAAGAATGAAAATGCTTTCAAAAACTATGTATTTAATGAAAACAATTTTTTCTAAAGAGGGAAAAATTGTATATTTCCCTAAGTACCCTGTTGTCCCCCTATGGGAAGCTTTCTTTCCCTTCCAAGGAAGCAACTCTCTCAAGAAGGATATAGTCATTTTTTCAACAAACTTGTCCTTTTCATCAGTGGCAGCTGGAAAATTCTGAACATCACGTTCCACATCAGAAATTTGTTTCTTCATCTGATCTAGGTTCTTTTGCAAGTTTTCAGCAGAAACTAAAGGAAACAAAAACAGTCAGCAAGAGCTTACTGATAATTCTAGCCTCAAGATCCCTTAGCTTGGCCCTTCAGAGCATGGCTTCTGTCATATACACATTCTGGTACTTAATTATTTTAGTTCTCTTACGTTCTCTCCTCTAGTCATTTCACACATTTAAATTTTCATCTTTCCAGTGAGACTATAAACTTGATAACTGAACCTCGTTTCCACAAGGTGTACAGTACTAACAAAAGAGAGGTTTCATTTAATTTAACAAGAATCTATGAAATCCTCTGAGATCTTGGTCTCATTTATTTTAGAGAACAGGGTTTAGGAGGAAGGAGACAGACAGAAATAAGAGGTAGAGCAAAAATCTGTTCTCATTTCTACTGAATGCTGCTTTTTCTTTGCTTAGGTCCAGGACAGTGAGGCCTGGTTTTTGTTAATACAGTCCATGCTTCCTGAATGAGAAAACCTGTTGACCTAGACTAAAAACGCCTGCCTTTCTCCCAGTTATTTTTTGGTGTTTGGTATTTCTCTAACAATGGAAACAGTACTTCCCATTTCTACACATGGAGACTTCTCTTTAGTCTTTTACTCCTCCTTTGTGGCTTAGACACCGTGCCTAAACCCTCTCCTATTCCCACTTAAAATAGTCTGAACTGAATATGATCTAAAATCTAGACCGTGTCTTATTTCCCTCCCCACACAGGTCAGAACCACCTTCTAGCTTCACCCCAACCTGCCCCACCTCGGCTGGCTTTCTCCACATGGGCAAGCTCATCTGGAAATTTGAGGACATCAGGATAGTCATTCTCACACAACTCAGCCAAGAAGTGCAACAATGTCATCTTCTGATCTGTGGACTTGGTGTCTCGAAGCTTAGGATAAGAGGAGAAATTGTTAGTCTTGCCCAAGATTGCCTCAGGCCAACGTCGGGCTCATAGAGGCCGTAGCATCCCCCTCTGTCATCTTGCTCTAACCCCCTGGCTTACCTTACAGAGGAAGCTGATATTGAAGCCAAAAGCACCAGCATTTCTGGAGCCAGCATTCATATAGTTTCCAACAAGCAAGGTAATCTCCAGGAGGCTGGAAAAGTTCTCGCTCTTGCGTAACTCCTCACACGCAGCAGTGACAGACACAATCTCTGGCTTGATATTTTCCACTTGCTCACTGAACTGTAGCTTGAAGAGGATGGCATTGAGGCGAGGCTGCAGACGTGGCACAGTGCCCATCTAGTGGGGAAGACAAGCAGTTCCATTTAGCAAATAGAGAGAGAGAAGTAAGAAAAAGATACAGGCTTGAGCCTCCTATAGGAAGATCAGAGTTACAGAGTAGAGAGAAGCAGAAAGTTAGGTTCAAAATAGACAAGAGGCAAGGAGCAAGTGTCCTGGCTGCTCTCCAGAGGGGAGGGGAACAAGGGACTCTGAGAAGGGCCTACTGCCACAGGCCTCACTCACCACCACGCCAAACTGCTCTGACTCAGCCAGATCATCATATTCATCCTTCAGTTCAGAAAGCATTTTTAACTGTTCTGGCTCTGGCATCTGCTTAATGAGGTTCTGAAAGAGAGAAGGGATGTCTGAGTTTGAGGGGGGAATAGCTGTACTCTCTTGTCAATCCCACATTCTTCCCAAGGACCACTAAGAAGGAAATATGAGGCATGATGGGGCAGAGAGGCAGTTAGTGAGGTGACAAGATTTTTGAAAAATATACCAGAAATAACCTGACCACCACAGAAACAGCAGCTCTTCCAAAGCTAGCATTCTCAAGTCAACAATGCTAGAGGAGGATCCTCACTATCTAGGCAGGGAGGAAATGAGGAAAGGGAATAGCTATGCAGAAAAGCCAGCAGAATGGGCCGGCCCGGTGGCGCACTGCTGTAGTGCGCCGCTTGGGAAGCGCGGCGGCACTCCCGCCGAGGGTTCGGATCCCACATACAGACCGGTTCCCGCGATCCCGTTGCGGGTCCCAGTCCGGTACAGGGGCGACACAGAGGGTTGCAATCCGTTGCCGGACACGGAAAAAGACAAAAAAAAAAAAAAAAGAAAGAAAAGCCAGCAGAATGGGCCGACCCGGTGGCGCACTGCTGTAGCGCGCCGCTTGGGAAGCGCGGCGGCACTCCCGCCGAGGGTTCGGATCCCACATACAGACCGGTTCCCGCGATCCCGTTGCGGGTCCCAGTCCGGTACAGGGGCGACACAGAGGGTTGCAATCCGTTGCCGGACACGGAAAAAGACAAAAAAAAAAAAAAAAGAAAGAAAAGCCAGCAGAATGGGCCGACCCGGTGGCGCACTGCTGTAGCGCGCCGCTTGGGAAGCGCGGCGGCACTCCCGCCGAGGGTTCGGATCCCACATACAGACCGGTTCCCGCGATCCCGTTGCGGGTCCCAGTCCGGTACAGGGGCGACACAGAGGGTTGCAATCCGTTGCCGGACACGGAAAAAGACAAAAAAAAAAAAAAAAAAAGAAAGAAAAGCCAGCAGAATGACCTTGCTTCTTACCTGGATCATAGACTCAGTCAGAACAGCCTCATTCACCTCCAGGATGACATTTTTAATCTCTTGATAGGGCATGCGGAAGGAACCCAAAAAGATTGCTGCCAGAAAATGAGATATAAAGACATGTTCTTCTTAGTTCCTTCCCCCTTCCAACCTATCCTACAAACCTATGCTGGATAATCTTCCTACGAGGGCTCTTTTAAAGTCACTCTCAGAAACTTCACTACCTATATAGGTTAAAATCCAAGTTTCTGGGTCCGGTATTAAAGGTTCCCACTTCCCAGCTTTCTCTCATTAATCCCCACATCTATGTTGTACACCCCACTCCAAGGACTCCATCCTCAAAGCTGTCATTGCCTTGACCTCCCATTCCCTAACAAACACATCCTATCCTTCCAGCTCTCTCACTTTCTAATCTCCAACTTGACTAACTTCATCAGGACTTCTCCGCAGTGTCCTGACCATTCCATTTTCTTTGTATCAGTTCCACTCTGTCTTCTGTTTGACCTGGACCCTAAAGGCCATCACTTCACTTGCTCTATTACTATATACTGTTACTCCCCATTACTCTTCCTCCTCCTCTCTAGCTTCCTTTTCCTTCCAGTCCCTGGCTGATCCAGCCATCTCATTTATCTGCTTTTACACCCAGGCTGATGCAAATCAGAGCCTATGAATTTGCAGTGGCACCAGTGATAGCTGGGGCCTCAGCATTGCTTAGCATTCCCCTTCTCTCTCTCTCACTCCTCTTGGCAGCTCCTCTAAAATACCACCATTCTCCCAACTGTACCACCTCTTCCCCATTTTCTAAGAAGATCTTGTTTCTCTTCACTGAAAAAATTGAAGCCATTGGTCAAATTACTTGCTCAGTTTTCTCTTAAGCCACTTGAAAATTGAGCACTGGGGGCCGGCCTGTGGCTCACTTGGGAGAGTGTGGTGCTGATAAGAGCAAGGCCACAGGTTTGGATCTCTATATATGGATGGCCGGTTAGCTCACTTGGGAGAACGTGGTGCTGACACCACCAAGTCAAGGGTTAAGATCCCCTTACTGGTCATCTTTTAATTAAAAAAGGAAGGAAAGGAAGGAAAGGAAGGAAAGGAAGGAAAGGAAGGAAAGGAAGGAAAGGAAGGAAAGGAAGGAAAGGAAGGAAAGGAAGGAAAGGAAGGAAAGGAAGGAAAGGAAGGAAAGGAAGGAAAGGAAGGAAAGGAAGGAAAGGAAGGAAAGGAAGGAAAGGAAGGAAAGGAAGGAAAGGAAGGAAAGGAAGGAAAGGAAGGAAAGGAAGGAAAGGAAGGAAAGGAAGGAAAGGAAGGAAAGGAAGGAAAGGAAGGAAAGGAAGGAAAGGAAGGAAAGGAAGGAAAGGAAGGAAAGGAAGGAAAGGAAGGAAAGGAAGGAAAGGAAGGAAAGGAAGGAAAGGAAGGAAAGGAAGGAAAGGAAGGAAAGGAAGGAAAGGAAGGAAAGGAAGGAAAGGAAGGAAAGGAAGGAAAGGAAGGAAAGGAAGGAAAGGAAGGAAAGGAAGGAAAGGAAGGAAAGGAAGGAAAGGAAGGAAAGGAAGGAAAGGAAGGAAAGGAAGGAAAGGAAGGAAAGGAAGGAAAGGAAGGAAAGGAAGGAAAGAAGGAAGGAAGGAAGGAAGGAAGGAAGGAAGGAAGGAAGGAAGGAAGGAAGGAAGGAAATTGAGCATTGGGGGCTCCCCGCTTAGAGCCATGCTAGAAAGGGCTTGGTAAGGACTATTTTAGAATCACCTAGAAAAAACTATGCCAACACTTCTGTAAGCTTATCAGCTTGTACTCATATACATGTACTCATATGTACACTTGTGTATATGTATATACTCAAGTATGTACTCATCCTTTCCTCATGTTTCAATAGAAGAAATAGGCCTAACGACCTTTTCTTCAGCATATATACAAAATTGAGTTTCTCCTATCTTAAAAAAAAAAAAACCTTCCCTGACCCAATGTTCCTCCCCAATTACCAATATCTCTCTTTCCTTCACTCTATAGCATTCTAAAAATATAATAATCTATTCTCCCTCACTTCCACAACTCTTATTTATACTGTCCCCACAAAGCCAATGAAAAGATGGCAACCATCTAGTACATACACTCTATGTAAGACAGCACCCTGCTACCTCTCACTCATGTCCACTACTTACCACTCCTCCCTGAAAAGAGAATCTGTTCTTACCAAATCTTCCTATTTCAGTAAGTGGTACTGCTTTCCACAGAGTGATCTAAACCCAAGAAACACCTTCTCCTTTATCCCCTGAGTCAATCACTGAGTTTCATTAATTCTATCTTAATATCTTTTGCTTTTCTTTTCATTCTCACTACTTTTAGTTTCAGGGCCTGATCACCTATCACCTAGTTTAAAGTAATAACGTAACAGAGCTCTCTGCCTACAATCTTCCCCTTCCCTAGCAATCTAGCCTCAAAATCACTGCCAAAGCAGCATTCCTAAAAATTACATAGGGTCGTATCACTCCCTTTCCTGATTAAAATCCCTTCAATAACTTCCCTGGTTTTACTCAGCTATCCTCAATTACTTGCATCTCCTGAATTGCATGATGTTATCTCATGCCTGTGCCTTCTTCATACATGCTGGTCCCTCTCCCCAAACAAGCCAGTCCTCACCCTTCACTTAATTCCTTCTCATTATTTCTTTTTTTTTCCTTCTCTTCTTTTTTTGTGGCTGGCTGGTACAGGGATCCGAACCTGTGACCTTGGTGTTATAAGGCTGCACTGCAACCAATTATTGAGTTCTTTTGGCTTGGTTTAAGTAGTACCTCCTTTAGAATGTCCTCAAGGGTATGCCTGCTCCAGTACTCCTCCTGCTTGATTTAGATGCTTCCTCTACTACTGTTCTCATAAGTGTTCTAGCATATCTCCATCACAGTACTTATCAATCTGCTATTATTATGATTTCCCTTTCTGTCTCCACGAGATACACTGTTCATGAGGATAGGAACTATGTCTTACTCAGCTCTCTATCTGTTAGCACATAAGAGGCACTTAATCATTACTGTATCACTAAATCCCATCTCCCAGGCCATACTACCCCTAAACTAATCTCAAATCTCTTCTGAATTTTGTTTTCCATATTAATATTACTCCACTGGAAATAAAAATGTACTACCCCATAGACTTTCTTGCATCATTTTCTAATATGAGAATTACTCATGCTTTAGGTTCCTAGAGATACTCTTGGGAAGAGAAACTGATTCACATTACTTTAGTCTCCATAAAAGGACTTCAACATAGACACTATTTAGCAATACTTGCTGACAATAATCTAAGATTATATAGTTAAGAATAATGTAAAGGCTTACTGCTCTCATTATATCACTGACTTTACTTATTGATATGTGTACTTATTTACTGTGTGATCTTGGCCAAGGTCACAACATTTGAACTTCAGTTTTCTCATTTGGAAAAACAGGGCTAATAACTGTGTCAACAAGATTGTGAGTGGGTTTTATGGAATATTATACACTTTCACCTCTGGAACACATGCATAGTATGTGCTTAATAGAGCCTGTCACATAGCAGACCTTCAAATATTTGTCAAACAAATGTTTAAATCTATATTACTCTGCATAAAGTAGGTAGATCAACCGTTAAAATGAACAAAAAAAATTAACATTCATCATGATCAAAAAGGAATTTCTGATCTGAAATTTTGCCACCAATCAGTTATGAGTTTAAGTAGCAAATTCAGAACAGAACTCTCTGGAGTTACTAATCCTACACAAGATTTACTATATTTATTTTAAATCACAAATTTTAAATTTAATTGTAGCCAAGTCAGTGCCTGTATTACTTATTAGAAAGTGAGAAAGAAGGAAATGTACAGTGGCTAGAACATTTGTGGTAGATTTTCTGTGGACGCAACAGAAATAGTAAGGGCTTTTTGATGGGGAATGGGGGTGCTGCCTGATATGGGGCTCCAAATCCTTGACCTTGGTGTTATAACACCATGCACTCACTAACCACCTGAGCTAACCAGCCAGCCCTAGTAAGGGCTTTGAAAAAATGAAGTCTGAAGTTCAAATCCCAGACCTGTTTCTTACCAGCTACATGACTAGGTAAATTCCTAAAAGTCTTAGCTTGTTTCCTTGACATAAAACTGGGTACTCAACAATTGTGTACTGCTATTGAAGGAATTGACAAGATACTGGAAATTCACTACACAATGCCTGGCATATAGCAGTAATTAACAAATGGAAGTTTCATGTCAAAGGACCCTAAATTCAAAAGAATTAAGTTCTTAGAAGAACTTCACATTTCAAATAGTCGGCATCATAGAGCTACTCACAAAGATTCTGGGCCGTCTTTGAATCCAACACCTTCAACTCTTTTACTTTTTTCTTTTGCACAGATTTCTTTTCTTCTCCACCTTCCTGATCCTTCTTGGCTAGCAAGGGAAAGATTAGAAAAGCATGATTAAGTATAAACTACCTCTGTGCCTCACTGAACTACTACTGTCCACCCCAGAATGGCCCCTCACCTCCTCCCTATTATAACAGCCTCTGTATTGTATTCCTTCAAGGCTAACCTCCTCTTTAACCACCAAACCTTCTATTACTGCCTTCCCCCATTATAATAATATCTCATTTTTGTTTCTTCAATAGTTATCAATAATGCTTTCCTACTACATCCTATCTACTTACAGGGATCAAGCAAACTTTCTGTAAAGGACCAGAGAGTAAATATTTTAGGCTTTGCAGGTCACGTGGTTTGTCTCAATTCCTCAGCTCTGCCACTGCAGCATGAAAGCAGCCACAGACAATACATAAACAAATGGGCATGGCTGTGTTCCAATAAAAATTTATTCACAAAAATAGGTGGTCAGCCTAAAAGCAGTAGCTTGCCAACCCCTGTACTAGAGTCTTCCACTATGTCATCCTTTGTGCCTATTAAGAATTCTACTTATCTTTCAAGCTCCACCTTGAACATGACCTTCCTTATAAAAATTTTCTTGATTTTCCCAACTGCTTACAATCTCTCTCTGAATCCCCATTGAATCTGATACCTCTTTATAGCACTTCCTCCCACTGACTTTGTTATAAATGTATAGAGTCTCCCTTTAACAAGACAAGGGCTTTTTAATTCATCTTTGCAATCCATGGCATTAAAAAATATTCCTACTAGGATCTTATTGCTTAAATATCACCTTGGTGAACACACGGAAGGTAAAATATACTCCTTTCCTTCTACACTCTTTTTGGACTATCCAAAGCCAATGTATTCTTCCCTTTCCATGAAGCTTTCCCAGATAAATGTACTTACTCTCTGCTTTGATAAACTTTTTTTTTTTTTTGGCAGCTGGCTGGAACAGGGATCTGAACCCATAACCTTGATGTTATACAGGCTGCGCTCTAACCAACTGAGTTAACCGGCCAGCCCAATAAACTATTTTTCATGATATTTGTTATCTACACCTAATTCAACAATTAATTATTCAATGTTTCAGGATATTTTTATGTATCATCTTGATCTCTTAAGAACCTGCATTACTTTTAAGTGTGGATATCCTCTCATCTCACTAGATTTTGAACTTCAAGGGCATGGGCAAAATAATATTTCATTATATCACTCCCTCAAGCAGCTAGCATGATAGTAATATTCACTAAAAAATGGTTGATACCTGCTATTGAGGAGGGTTGAGCAGTACATAGTAAAGGAAACAGAAACTGTTATGGACAGATATAATTGTAAAATATTTTGTCCTATAGTGTAACTTGGCAACAACTTTTTAGAAAGCCATATGGGAATATCTCTGGAAAGGAGAGTCAAGAAACTGACAAAGCTAGTTGCTTCTGAGCAGAGAGGTGAGGTGCTTGAGCATAAGAGCAGGAGGAATACTTTTAAACAAAAACCCTTTTATACTATTTGAAATTTAAACCATATGAAAAGTATTATCTGATACAAATAAAGAAATAAGACAAACCAACAAAAAAGTTATATGAGAAAAGGTACAAAGAACTCTAAAAAACATTTATCCCTTTGGCCCAGTAGTCCCAATTTGAGGAAGGAAAATGCTAAATACATAAGGATTAGTTATTTAAATAAATATTTATTGAATACCTATGTGCGCCTGGCTATGCTCTGAGCAATGGAAATCAAACAAGTGAACAATATAGAGAAAGATTCCTGCCTTCATGGAAATTACATTCTAATAAAGAGAAGTAGACAAACCAGTTAGTAGATAAAATAGTATGTTAGATGATCTAAGTACTATGAAAAGGAAATCAAGTAGGAAAGAGAAAAGGGAGATTTGATGAGGGATGTATCACAACTTTAGGTGTGGTCAGGGAAGGTTTTCCTGAGAAGGTGACATTCACGTAAAGACCTTTTAGAAGGTGAGGGAGCAAGACACATGAATATCTGGGGGGAGAGGGCAAAAGCTTTTCAGGCAGAGGAAATAACAAGTGCAAAGACCTGAGATAGAGCATGTATGGTATGTTGAAGGAAAAGCAGAAAGGTCAGTGTGGATAGAGCAGACAAGTGAGGGAAGAGCAGGAGATGAAGTCAGAGAGGTAGGTAAAGATAGATCATATAAAAAATGAAAATTATGGTTATTCAGATAAAAATGAGGACTTAAAACATCCAGATTACATCACAAAAATTCAGAAGCAGGGAAAGAAGAAAGTAAAAGTAAATCTCTCATTTTATACAGGCAAAGTGAAAAGATACTTATTTATTACTGATGTTGAAAAATAGAAAAGCAGACTCAATGTTTTTGCTTGCATTGAGATAAAAATAAAAGGTACAGACATAAGAAAGGAAGGGATGAAAATGCCACTTTTGTGGAAGATATGACTTCATGTAGTGATTCAAGTCAATCCAAAAAAGAATTACTAGAACTAATTAATTCAGTAAAGTTGACAGATAAAAGACAATCATATGGACTTCCGGCTGCACCAAAATGGAGTAGCCTCACCTAGAGAAAATACTTAAGACAAGTATATTTAAACAATGAGGAGGGCGAAGGAACTCAAATTGGTAAAACATGGTATCACTAGACTGGGATAAGTTACGTATGTATATTGTAATACCTAGAGCAATATCTAAGAAAACTATACAAGGCTAGTCGGAAAGTAGTGAGTCATCACAATTGATTGTTCACAGTCAGTTACAGATTGAATTCTTTCTTCTCCCCTTTCCCCCTTCTCACTACTGCACTTGACTAGTCTTTAAAAAAAAAAAAAAAAAAAAGCACACTATACAAAATGATATATACTACTCAAACACTATAAATAAATCAGAATAAAAAAAAATTTTTTTTGGGGGGGGGTGTCAGGCCGGTATAGCAATTAAACCTGTTATCAGTACCACACTCTTACCAACTGAGCTAACTAGCCAGCCCAAAATTAAATATTAAAAATGTTCAAAGAGCCCACAGGAAAGCAAAAAAACAGAAACAAACAGAAAACAAATAGTAAAGTGGCAAACTTAAGCCCTAACATATCCACAATTACCATTAACATAAATTATCTAAATACACCAATTAACAGAGACTGTCAGAGTGGATTAACCAAAAAAGGAAAAAAAGAAGATACAACAATACGTTGTCTAAGAAATTTACTTCAAATACAAAGACATACGTAAGTTGAAAGTAAAAGGCTGAAAGAAAGCTATATCACGCAAATATTACTCTTACAAATATTTTGCAAATATTTCTTGTACTGCATTATCTTGAGGTTGGATTGGGGAAACATGTCCTTATTTGGAAAGAGTACTAATGAGCAATAAAAGGCTAGAAATTAAACTGAAGGGAAAAAATTAACTGGGCTTAAGATAACTCAAAGTAAGTTCATATACATATCACAGAAACATAAATATTGAAAGGACATGGGAAATTTAGTCTAATTGCCTCAATTTACAGTAAATAAACAAAAATATAGGCTTATTCAATGAATACTGAGTAACTTATTGTTAACGTATTCAGATTGGTCTGCGAATACAAAGAGTTCCAACACTCTAGTATCTTTCAGTTTTGTAGAGGGGGAACAGACAATAAAATGGAAACATAAACATAATTGTGATAAGTATTTCAAAGGAAAAGTAAAACCAGATAAATGATCTTTGCTGTCACAGAGCTACTTGGGGTAGAGCAGAAACTAGAACCAAGGTTCCTTAATTCAGTACTATATAGAAGAAACCATAGGAATGATTGCAAAACTTACACAGGATACTTCTGTTTTCATGAGTTCTTTGCTTCTGCTTTAGAAAAGTTCTTTAATTTTCTTTCAAGTTGCCAATTCAAAGAATAAAGAAAAAAGGAATTTGTCCTCTTAAAGAGGATGAAATTTCTTTTGAAAATGAACTTAAGTGTCAAATTTACTATTGGTATTTTCTGTACGGCACACAAAAAATGCAAAGATAAAATCAGTAATGTTACTACTATGACATATTCAAGAGTACATTTTAAAAAATTATTTTGCTACAATTTTATTGTATTTTGTTTTAAAATTTTTCATCTGCTGAAAAATAATTCCATAATAAAATTATTTTTTTAAAAAAGCAGAATGGTTATATGAACATCAGATAGGTAAACTTTAAGCAAAGAATGTAACTATAGGGGCCGGCCTGGGAAGTGCGGCGGCGCTCCCGCCGAGGGTTCGGATCCCACATACAGACCGGTTCCCGCTCACTGGCTGAGCGAGGCGCGGGAGCAGCACCGAGGGCTGCGATCCCGTTGCCGGTCCCCGGTCCGGTACGGGGGCAACACTGAGGGTTGCGATCCGTTGCCGGACACGGAAAAAGATAAAAAAAAAAAAAAGAAAAACGGGCCGGCCCGGTGGCGCACTCGGTAGAGTGCGGCGGCACTCCCGCCAAGGGTTCGGATCCCATATAGAGACCGGTCCGCTCACTGGTTGAGTGCGGCGCAGGCGCGACACCAAGGGTTGCGATCCCGTTACCGGTCACAAAAAAAGACAAAAAGGAAAAAAAAAATTAACAGAAATGAAGTGAGAAATAGACATAGCCAAGTCACAATAATACTTGGAGACATTAATATCCCACTCTCAGCAATGGGTAGAACCAATAGAAGATCAGCAAAGATATGAACATGTATAACACAATCAATCTACAGGGTCTAACTGACATATATTGCACACTTTATCCAACAACAGAATAAATATTATTTTCAAGTGCTCACTGAACACTAAGAAAGACCGTTTGGAAAAAAAAAAACCTCAACAAATTTACAAGACTGAAGGTAATTGTGGATATGTTAGGGCTTAAGTTTGCCACTTTACTATTCTCTGATCATAATGAAGCCAAACTGTATATCAACAGCAGAAACATAACAGGAAAATGTCTAAATACTTAGAAACTCAAGAACCACTTCTAAATAACTTGTCAAAGAGGAAGTCTCAAGAGAAATTTTAAAACTGAATTAAAATGAAA